TGGAACTGAGTTGCAGTTGCCTGCTCTAATGTAAATGAATGCGAGATTGTGAGGAAATAAGGTTTTTAATAAGGATTTTAGAGATACAGAGACTGGAAGTGTCCAGAGTAAAACGGATTGTCCTGCGCACACATCTGCACACTCAAACACACACACAGTTTCTTGGGATAATTCCTGAAGCAAGGGGCTGTAGTATCGCATTCTTTAAAGTTATGAATTGCATCGGACCTGCTTATTAGTGAATCATAGGCTTGGCAAGTGGGTGGCATTGTCCAGATGCGATTATTCAATGTTTAATCATCAGTTTGCTCCCTTTGTTGAAGAGACAGTGACTTTTTAAACAAATACTGTTTCATCTGCCTGGCCCCTAAGTGTGGGTTGCTGGTTCGGGGATGTTGAAATGTTTTTCGGCTTTCAAGTTAGATTAAGTTGCTCTGGATTTGCCCTGTGGTTTGGTAATGTCAGTAGGGTTTAACTGGTTTAGGGGTAGTGGCTTCCTCGCCAGTAGTAACTTTCCCTGCTTGGACTTAACTCCTGGAGACGACGAAGGAGAATCAGTGGGGCAGCTTTTGCCCTAGTACTGACTTTACTAGGTTGTTTCATACTGTAGTGGAGAAAAATCTTTCCAAACTCACCCTTTCACAATGTGTTTTGTATATATATATATATATATATATATATATTTAAAGAAAATTGTTGCTTTTACAGAAATGTATTTCTGCAGTACCTTTGAAGTAGCTGAAAATCTGATTTAACATGTATGGGAAGATTTAACCACAACCAGTTTTTATATGTGTCTTTAAACTGTGGAACTTAGATTTTCCTAATTTAAACATCCTAAAATATTGTAAGTGCCAAATAGAGAAATGTGTATAGGACTGGCTAAAGGCTTTCTGGCTCTTTCAGTTTAACAGCAAAACGTCATGGTAAAAAATAACCTATACCACCACCTAGAGTCTGTTTGTTAGCTAATTGCTCCTGAAGTTTGCATATGTTGATGTGTCTCTTGTGGTGCTGATATAGTCAAAAAATGATTAAGAGGTGCAGGCTTTCGAAAGGCCATCCAAGAGAACAATTTTTAAGTCATAAATTGCAAGCACCAATTTAAATTATCTGTGCCACCTTTAGAGAAGAAAAGTATGACATACCAAGTTGAGTGGGCTATTCTCCAAAAGATATTAATTCAAAAGAATTTGAAACGGAGATTTTTAGCTTGTGTTCCACGGTAGCTCTGACTGCTTCAAAATTTTCTGCTATGAAGGATTTAAGAAATCTTACAAATGTAGTGCCATTAGGACTTTCTGAAGTCCAGGTGGAACAAAAGCTATGATAAGGAACAGAAGAAAACAGTTCTATAGAAATTCTGGAAACCCAGCAGGTTACAGCCTAATTGTAGTTCAGAGGTGTGAGAGTGAACCCCATGGGGAATCAGGTGGACTGTGTTCTGATGAGAGATGATATGGACTAAAGCAGTCTGGTGAATGGGAGACCTTAGGGAGGCAGCTCTGTTGCCATGTAGCTCATCACTTGTCCAAGGAAGTAATGTTCCTCCTTTAAATGGTGTAGCCTGAGAGAAAGATAGCCTCTAAGATCTTTAATTAAATACCAGTTGAACAGAGAGAACTGGAGCACTGTATTAATTCTGTCAAACATCACTATTTTAGAACATTGGGGACAACTAAAAATGAATTAACTCATATCTGAAAGCGGAGTTTTATGAAAGGTGACAGATGAGGCAAAATATGTCAATCTAATGGAACAAATAGGAAGATAAGGAGAAATGCTGTCCTTGGCTCACTAGAAAGATGAACGAGGAGCTTAATATTAATTGCAAAGATTCCATTGCCAACTATCACTAGAGCACCATGACAGGGAGGTGATTTTAAACCAGATTGGTTTAAGATCCATTAAGTTAAAGGAACTGGATTTTTAATTTTAAAATCTAACGATTGTAAGTAGTTTGTTTGAAGTGTTCTGGAAAGGCAATAACTTGTGTAGTAAGTTAAAAGATAACTCTGGTCAAAGTAAGTTTAAAACTTGTTATTCATTTTAAATGGTGATAGGAGCTGGGTGTGGTGGCCCTGGGCTGTAATCCCAGCGCTCTGGAGGCTGAGGCAGGAGGATCACTGCAAGTTCAAAACCAACTTGAGCTACAAAGTGAGCTCAAAGCCAGCCTGAATGGTATCCAGAGACCCTGTCTCAAAAAGGCAAAAAACAATAACAACAAAAAGTATGATAGAATCAGTTGATTTTTGGCTTTTCAAAATTTAAATGACTGACAGTTTTTAAAATATAACTTAATATAGAAGAGGGATTTAGTTGCTCTGTATTCTTCCTTCCCTCCCCTCTTCTTCTTTCCTTTCTCCTTTCTTCTGTCTTAACTTTCTTCCCCTCTCCGTATCCCCCCTTCTCTAAAATAAAGTTTCTATTTTTTTGGGTGTTCTCTTTTTTTCCATTGAAAGTTCCTTTAGATTGTAGCTTACATTTTTGTCTGTGATGGAGTGAAATTTCTTTCTTCTTGTACTTTCCCTATCTGTCCTTTAGGTGACTGGTTCACAATCAAGAGTGAGTTTTGTGTTTGAAAAGAATGATTTACTTTTACATGGATGGACGCCCAGGGAAAAGCTTTCCATGTTCTTAGGAGATTCCTGCCTACTTTAGTGTGCCTACTTAAGACATTTTTTTTTAAACTAATGTTATAAAGGCAAGTGTTTTGAACCAAGTAGGGTAGGGTGACTTTTGGTGGTGTTTCTTTGAATTGTTCAAGAGTAATTCCCTTACTTTGCACCTTGTTTCAGGGGACTGCAGATGGGTAATGAGCACACACGTTCAGTAGTATTCAGGTAGCACAACAAGCAGAAATATGACACCAGGGTGGTCACTAAGACTTGAGAAGCTAAAGACTGGGAGTGTCCGGTGATGAAGCGCGCCAATGGGATGCAGCTGAGGATTGTGTCTTGAGGTTGGAGTGAACAAAAAGTAAGTGGAGGAGAGAGATCTTGTTTCCAGATCCTGTCTGCCCCTGAGGCTGTAGCAGAGGCATGCATTGCTGATGGTAATGGGTTCGCTTTTATGAGGCCACAATATTTATGAATAGTGGTTTTTGGGGAGAGAAATGACAAGTTCCCCCTTTGTTCATAGGCACATTTTGATTTTGAATGTTGCTTAAAGATATCTGAATTGAGAGATGAAAGTTGAGTACCAAAAGGGAACCAGGAGTTATGGTTTGGTTGGGA